CGGGAATTGCACAATCCCGGCATCGCCGAGCCKGGGAAACACCTCCAAAGCCATCGAGTCCAAGTGTGCTCCATCCCCACCTTGTCCGCACCTCCAGTCCTTCCGTGAACACTGCAGGGATGTGCGCTCCAAACCTCCCTGGGCAGCCCCTGCCAAGGCCTCTCTTCCATGGAGTCTCCAAGGTCTCTTTCCATGGGGAAATTCCCCCCTGCCCCTCCCCAGCCCGGCCTGATTCTGTTCCCTCTCCTCCTCTCCCTGTTCCCTGGAGCAGAGCCTGACCCTGTCAGGGAGTTGTGCAGAGCCACAAGGTCCCCCTGGAGARGCTCCAGGTTTCATCCAAAAGCCTCCTTGGGTTTCTGGACTGGCCAGGCTGACAATGTTCATGAGCAGGATGGGGGAACACAAGGCCCCTTCTTTATCCCCAAAACAAGAGGCAGGGCAATGACCCTTTTCCCACAAACTCTCCCCCATGTCCTGTGTCCTTCCCCTCTGGACAAAGGTGTTGGAAACCATTCCTTCAGGAACTTCAGGGAGCCAATTTCTATGGACACTCATCCAYGTTCTCCAGATGGTCCCACACCGACCCAGCAGCGCTGAGCACGAGGAAGGAAAAACGAGATATTTCCTTACCTAGCTCTCATCCCTTCCAAAGACAAATTCCTGGAAATTACAGAACGAGGGCACAGACTTCAAACTAGCAGATACCACTCCCTATCCCTACACACACACAATGATTCAAGACAGTATTTCCTCCACAATTTTTATTTTAAATTACAAAGGACGTTGCATACATTGATGAATTTGTATCTGAATAGAAGTGCTAGGGATCAAGGGTGACAGAGTAAACAAAGTCAATAGTTTAATTGTGCCTCTTCAAAAAAATAAAACTGCACAACTATTAACCAACATTTAACATTGCAACTCTTAACAGATCATGCTTTGAACAAGGTAAATTTATTTTCTAACAGAGACAAGACTTTCAGTAAGTTTTTCTGAGCTCCAGTTGGAAGTTGATTATAGGATATCAAGGACAGCATTACAATCATGACCCCAAGCATAGGCGGAACAGGATGCCATGTTTTGTTTAAAATGCATTTGTTTTTTTGCATCTGCATGTGCCATCAGCCTTAAAAAGTTCAGCCAACCACAAATACTGAGCAACAAGTTYTCCTTAGACATAATATTCTGGGAGGATAGATGATTCCAATCAGAATGTATGAAYATCCATCATTGTAAGAGAGATTAAGTTTCATTACTAGGTTCTTYTTCCTAATCAGAAGATTTTTATAGGGTGGGAGGTGCTCTTGCCAATACCAAATCCAATCCWGACGTTTTCCTTACAGGAGCTATTKAAGTCACCCAAATTTGACTTTAAAAGATACCCAAATAATTTCAGCTCCAGAAAAACTCTGGACAATGATGTTATCCAAAAAGTTTGGAGTTTTATTTCTTTTATGGGGGAAACAAAAAATTGCAAATTTGGCTTAAAATAGCTCTGGTTCCACTTTTAGCTCCATAGCTCATTAGAAACATAATAAAAGCAGTCAGTATTTGCTCCTGTGGAAGTTGATGGATGTCTAAGAGGCTGAGGATTGTAATTCAGAGTGCACACACACCTTCGAAGAAGGGGGAAAACATGGCATATTGTGAAATGCAAGTGGTAGAAAGATAGAGATTATTGTATGCTGCAAAGAAGGTACAGCCTAAAAGTGCCATCTTTGATTAATGACATTGAAGAATCCCAATTTACACTGGGAGATATTCAAGAGTGGTGTTTTCTCAACAGACTAATGCCCTTAATACAGTTACAAGAAGGATCAGTCACCGAGGCAGCAACTGTTAGAAATGTACTTCACACGATCCCTGGGGTAAACAAAATAAACCTCAGCTGTGTGCAAGGCTGTGTCAATAAGCCAAGACCACATCTAGCAGCGCACTTCACTAGGCGATTCCAACTGAAGCCTCCAACTTCAAAAGCAAATAAAATCATGATTAGATGCACTCTGGAAACTCGGGTCTCAAGGCCAAATACAGATCCTGACATTCACGGTCCACAACTGGGTTGTGCCTCAGCAGAACTTCAGGAAGACGAGCAAGCACGTTTGAGGAAMAGAACTGCATTTGCTATTTCTGCTGGAGGCTACTTGGATACAACCCTTGGAAATTCTCCTGATAAAACCTTTTAGAGCTTTCAAAAAAATAATAAAAAAAAGCTATGTTTAAATGATTTATGGAAAAGAAAAGCACATCCAGTCATTACAGTTTGTGAATAAGCTAACTGTTTTATTAATGAAGGCAAATATTGGATAAATATTGGAGGGGGGTGTCTTTCAAAAATAAATTTAAAACTGACACCTCTATATTTCAGAAGTGTCTRTTTGCTTTCAGGTTAGTTAAAAGACTTTTCATCCATTTTAGGTTGGTTTTTTGTTTGTTTGTTTGCTTTTTAAAAAAACCCCAACTTTTCCCTGGCCCTCTTAGCATGGAAAAAAGTCAATCTATAAATTAGGAACTGAACACAGCTGAGCCTGACTCGCACATCAGCTTTACAACAATGCAACTTTATTAAATCACAATGATTTCAACTGGTATGATAAGAAAATCCAGCCCATCCACACGTAAACATAGCTTTAGTAATAAGTCKCTCTCATCCCAAAAAAACAAAAGTACTTGCCAAGTATCAGTAAATGTGTTCAATAAACCATAAAAGGAAGCGTTAGCAAAAGGGGTTTCRGGCTTAAAAACACCCTTCAGGAGCACCCCCACGTTTTGCAAGGCCATTCAAAAACTGGTCTTCCATATAAATACAAAAAGACTACTGAGAGAAACTGAAATCAGACCTAGCCGCACTCGCTTCAGGACGCTTTAATCAGCTCTGATTCCATCTCAGAAGCTTTGACGAGTTCAGAGGGAATGAAAAACATTTAGTTCTAGATGTACAAGTAAGGCACAATATAAAGCCACATCATCATCTGTCATGAAGGGAGGGGGGAAGGACGAGGGTCATACATGTACAGCAGAACAAGCAGCCCATCGATTCCAAGTGTGGCACCTACGTTCAGACTGACGAGATCTCGACAAGAGCAGTTATGACAGCATGCTTTTAATATGGAAACAAATCCTAGAGAATCCAGTGTATCAGAAAAAGGAAGAGCTTCTGTTCGTATTAAATCAAAAAATATATCATTGTTTTTGGATATAGGATTAAAAGTGAATATTCACAATGCCTACACTCAAAAACAAACAAAAAAACCCAGGACTTTGTTAAGATCCACATACTATGTATGAACACTGAAAATCTTTAGAAAATGGACTTCTCTAAAGATCACCCAAAAACGCATGCCACAATTGCCAAAAAACAGAACATGTACATTTGTTGGTTTTTATACCCTTATAAGATTTTTGTTTGTGATAAGTATACACTAAATGTATATATTTTAATGACACTAGAGGAAGCAGATTGTTACTGGCATTAAAGTACAACCATTTCTAGACGGTTTAAATGCCACAGAGTCCCCTGGTTAAAATGTAAAGCTGCACAGCTTGCCTATGTCACCTTTATGATAAAGTTAAACCAGCAAAAGGTCTTATCTTTACTCTACATTTTACTGCCAGGTTTTATTTATCTCAAGTATCGCTGCAGCATTCTGACCAGCCCAGAGTTAGCAGCAAGTGGCAGGAATCATATAAAACGCAGTTTCTTTTTTTTTGTTTTTTTTCCTCTTTTTTTTTTTTTTTAAACAAAGTGCTTTTCTAAGATATACATACATATAAATAGTTACAAAATAAAGTGTCAACATTAAAAAGCTCAACTATTTCAAAGCTTTAACTTAAAATAATACATAGGAAACACTGAAATGCGAGGGTATGGAACT